TAAATCCAGAATAGTATCCCAAAAAGAATTTACTCCTAATTGTTTTCTAAGTACTAAAATTATGAGAACTCAATCTTATTCAAGTAACTTGTTTTTGTAGATAATTAATTAAAACTAAATCTAATTAGTAACCAAACTAATTAATGAAAACTAAAAATTCACTAGAGAAAGGCAACAAATTAAAACATAAGATTATGGGTTCATTCAACATTTCATCTAACATTTATTTCTCTCAATATTTAAAATCATAGTTTGTTTTACTAGCCTAGAATCCAAACCTTTGCACAAGTCTCCATCGAGATGCTTGTACAAATACCGAGCTTAATTAGGTCACGATATATCTATGATAATCAATTAAATAAGATTCATTAAGCTAGTGTTCTAATTTGGATATATATGGTATTTCGGTGTATTTCTATCCTAATTGTGAATCAGATCACTTAAGCGATGTGAATATACACTATTCAAATCTTAGTCCAATCTAAAATCATTTTGTCGAATCTCAATCAGATTAATAAATCATTCAATTGTTAGATAAACAATTAATTGTATTATGAATAGATTTGAATAAGCAAAACTATATTCAATCATAGTAAATAAAAGAGAAACAAATATTCAAATTACATGTTGAAATCCACCACAATCCTAAAAGTATGTTTAGCTCATAATAACTAATAAAAACATCATACAAAGAAATTAAAAGAAACACAAAAGTACAAAGAGAAACTAATTGTAGATGCTTTTTGATCTCAATTCTCTCCCAAAGTCTCTTCCTTTCTTGCTTCATTCTTGGCTTTTTTTCTCTAGAATAATTTCCTGTTGTCCTCTTTCTAAAACCTATGAAAAAATTCTTTTAAATGAGCTCCAAAAACTCTTGTTTCCAAATTCTAGTCAACAATTTATTTTGGAAATCTATCTAGCGTCGTGGCTTTAGTATTCTAGGTATTGCGGCGCCCTGGCCTTTGTATAGTCTGCTTTATTCTTCCAACCCCACAACCTTGCTTACTTAACACCACAACGATTTGCTTTTAAGCTCTCTTATGGGAGCCTTACTTCAACTAGTGCCATGGCTTTCCTGTCCTCAACACCTTGTTAGTTTGGTGAATTCACTGTACAAGATAATTGTCAAGATTCTAGCAAATAGGATCAAAAAATGATTGGGAATGTGATTAGTGACAGCCAATGTGCATTCATTAATATGCACTAGATAATGGATGGAATCCTCTAAGCAAATGAGATTATTCATAATATGTGAAAGAGGACTAATGGCAATGGGAGAGTTGTACTGAAACTACATTTTGAGAAGGCCTATGATTCTGTGGATTGGGGATTCTTGATAAGGATAATGGAACATATAGATTTTGAAGTGAAATGGAGGGTTTTGATATTTAAGTGTATATCTATAGTGCGCGGGGGAGTTCTAGTTAAAGGATCGGTAACAAAGAAATTTCCTTTGAGGCGAAGACTTTGTCAAAGAGAAATTATATTGCTTTTCCTTTTATTAATGGTGGTTGAGGCATTACATTTTCCCCTTGTACAAGCAGAGTTTATTAATTTGTTTGAAGACATCCCAAAAACAGATTCAAGTATGAGGGATTTCCCACTTGTAATTTACTGATGACACAATTTTGTTTGTGAAGGAAGGTTTATAGGAAGCATTGAATTTGAGAAGTAACGTTGCTTCCAACTAGCCTCAGGATTGCACATTAATTTCACAAAATCATTTCTTTATCCAATAAGAAAAGAGTCTCATTTGTGTTTAGCAATGGCTAATACACTAAGTTGTAATATGGGTTCTCTCCCTTTTATTTATCTTGGTATTCCACTAAGGGCAAACTCGAGGAGTAAGAGTTCATGGGAACCAATTATTGGCAATTTTCAGAATTGTTTGACGGAAAGTATTTATTTTTCAAGCGGTGTATGGTAGTCATCAACTCAGTACTTAATTCCTTCCCAGTTCATTACCTCTCTATTTTTTAGGCTCCACAAGGTGTGTTGACTAAGCTTGATTAGTTACAAAGTAATTTTTTGTAAGGTGGTTGCTCAAAAAGGAGAAAAATGGCCAAAGTTAAATAGCAAGTGATGTGTAAACCAAAGGCCAAAGATGGGTTGGGTATTGCCAACTTATCATAGACAAACTTGGCGTTCATGGGGAAATGGTGTTGGAGATATGGAGCGGAGGGAAATGCGTTGGAGGCGGTTATTGGTGGAAATATATGGTGAGGATAAAGTCAAGTAAGTTCGGTCCTTTGCTAATATGGCAAAGATGTCTACCGTGTGGAGACAAATAATCAAACTTGTGAATAAAGAAGGGATTGATAATCTAATTGGAGTTGTAGATTGGTGATTGGTAGTGGTAAAGAGGTTTTCGTCTGGCTTGACAGATCACTTTTGGCGAACCCATTAAATGTAACATTCCCAAGACTATATGCTTTAGCCACAGATAAGGAAGGTTGGGCTTGTAAGTATTGGTCAATGGGTAGATAGCACATAACCTTTCAGAGGAGACTGTATGATTGGGATACTCCTTTGCATTAAGAGCTCCTCCAAATGCTTAAGGGTGTGACATTACAAAATGCTGTTGATGATAGGTTGATATGGACACATGATAATAAAGAGCATTTCTCAGTGAAACAATTTCCCAAAGCCTTTGATAATTTGCAAGAACAAGGTGAACAAGAGGTGTGGTTTAAAGACATTTGGAGGTTATCTATTCTGCCCAAAGTACAAGGTGTTTTATGGTTAGCTATTCCACAAGGAGTTTTCTTAGGTTGTGTGGGGTGCCCTTTGCAGATGATACTTGTATGTGTTGTTAGTGTGGCCTAGTGGGAGAAACTTGTGACACCTCTTATGCTAATGTGACTATAGTTGGCAGGTGTGGTGCTCAGTTTTAAGTTGGTGGGGTTTAGCGTGGGTGATGCCACATACAGTGGAGGGGATCATTCGGTCTTGGGATAGCCATAGAGTTGATGGGGGAACGAAATCTCGGTGGATGGTAGTGTGTGCCTCAACTTTTTGGTCATTATGGTTGGCACATAACGAAACTATATTCAATGGGAAAAAATTGGGATGGGGACGAACTTATCTTCCTCATAAAAATGAGTTCTATGTTCTGGATTATGGTCAGTCACGGTGGTAGGGTGATTAAGGAGAATGGGTGGTGGCAGTGAGTGGTGGGTGGTGGGCAGAGCCATGGAAGCTTAACCCGAAGGTAGTGCATAAAGAGCCTAGATTGGGTATCACTTGGGTTCCGTTGGATCCGTTAGAGTTTAAATTCAATGTCAATGGATAGGTTCATGGTAAACCCTCCCGACCTAGCAGGATGTGCATGGGTGCTTAAGACATTCTAATGATCATGTAAGAGGTGTTTTATGGTCCATTGAGAGTGCATGATTCCAAGTATGTTGAGGTAATGGCCATCTTTTATGCGGTTAAACTTTTTGCAGCTACACCGTGGATGGGAGTTGATAAGCTCATTGTTGAATCCGATTCGAAAGTAGTTATTTTATGGGGTGAGTGACACCAAACTTCGCCCATGGAGCCTATGATGAACTTTTAATGAGTTGGATAGCCTCTGTAGGGTGGTTGGAAATATTTCTTTCCACCACATATTTAGAGAGACCAACACATTGGCTGACTCTTTGACAAGGTTTCGTGTTGACCGTGGCGATATGTTTCATGCATGGTAGTAGAAAATGTATTGATATAGCTGTAATATTCATCTTGCCTTTACTATTCGGTTTGGAAGGTGTGCTTACGGGAGCTACTGCCAGTGCTGATTTCTGTTAAGCTTGGCCCTTTGATTGGTAGAGCAGATGATTTATTATGTTATGGATCAGGTGTCAACTGCTCAGTTGATGTTGGTATGCTGGAATTTTGTACTGAACGTCTTTTTAATCTTCTAAGGAGTGGGCTCTGTATAAGTCCATTTGGACTATGTACTGGGTTGTCCAGCAAATGTGACTTGCTTCCAAGTTCAATAAAAAGTCATTGTACGGACTGAGAACAAAAATCGTATTCGTGTACCTATATATTAATATATATACTTGAATAATGCTTAATCAACTGTTTTAAAATTGAAATACTCGTATTAACGACAGTTGCCTGTAAATTGGAAAATACACATTAATAAGTTAGTACTAGTGTTAAAGCAAGTTGTTGAGAGAACTTCATTCCAGTCGAAAGAGCACTGGTGGCGTGTCCTTCACTCAGGTGACCAGTGGGAACTCGTAAGGTTCTTGCAAATTCTCTTACTAAAAAGGCGGCTGAGAGTCAACAACCTCCTTATTTAATTCTCTTCTACTGTTGTTCTCTTATACTAGAAATTAATTTTTTACTTGCTCTTTTTATTATTGCAACAAATTACTCGAGCATTTTCGCCTTGCAAGAAAGTGAAAAATTAATTTCTAGTATGATTTTTACTTTAATTTTTTCTGATTTAGGGGAAGATTGCTTAAATTGAGCTTGATGGTCGGGTATATAGTTTCATGATCATCTTTAAAAAAGATGAGAAATTAACTCCCTTGTTTTTTTTTTCAAAATATAATCTGGGTTAAGCATGGCCAAAAGGGACGCTAATCTAGGTGAAGAGTTCTTTTTCCCCTTTTTATTGTTTATGCGTCTAGAAATGGAAATCTGAACAAGGAATCAGGAATATTAAACCCACAAAACAATAGGCCTAATTCCTAAGTACGCATCGAAGAAAAAGGCCGTTGAATGTGCGGCTCAGCTTCGGGGGAGACTTTGGGAATTAATCACGAGGCTGACCCGAAAAGAAAAAGTGAGCCACTGTTCCTTTTCAGTCTCTTCACGTTTTTCGTCGTTTGATTAATCAGCACTGCTTTGTCCTTGGTTTTCGTTGCCCTAAAGGTTGGCAAGAGAAGTTTGAGTTTGCCTATTTAAATGTCCTCAGTGTCATGTGCTTCACCCTTCAGCGTTGCGCGTTTCTTTCCTTGAGCACATCGATAATAATTGAAAATTTTGGAAGGAAATAACAAGCCATGGATACTGGTGCTGCCAGTGGGTCATCGTCATCAAAAATCAATCGAACTTTAGTTGAGAAGGAACGGAGAATGCGTTTGAGAAATCTCTATTCGCAGCTCTCTTCTCTCCTTCCTCCTCAACCAAGGAAGGTGCTTTCATCTTCTGCATCCGTTGTCTCCCTCATCTCTCTCTGATTGTATTACATCTGATTTAATTTTGATCTGATTGGATTAATATTCTTCTAGATGTCGACTCACGATGTGCTGGAGCAAGCCACCCTGTGCATAAACCAGCTGCGGAAACGAGTGGAAGAACTCAAGCAAATGAAGTTGCAACTAGAGGAGTGCAAAGGAGCAACTGAAACGACAAGCGGGCCAAGTATATACCCGGTTATAAATATATCAGATTTGGATTCTACTCTGGAAGTAAATTTAATTACAGGGTGGGATGGGAAGTTCAAATTAAGCGACATTATAAAAGTTCTCATGGAAGAAGGAGCAGAAGTTAAAACGGCTGTCGCAAACCATAATGCAGGAGATAGGACCATCTATTCAATTTGTTGCCGGGTATATTTTTCAAGCACTGTTATTTTTCCGATTCAATACGCCATAGAAATGATTAATGTCATGGAGGAGAAACACTACCCAATTCGACCAACTTATTCTTGTAGTGCAGGTGTTTTTTTAAAGATTGTTCCAAACTTTGAACAAGTTGGTCAGAATAAAACCATTCTCGACTTTTACCTTTCACTCTATACCTTCAAGTGGAAAATTATCTAGCTCCAAAGAAATAATGAATAACAACTTAGGCTTGATCTAGCAGTTATTACTTTCTCTAAAATAATTAAAGTCTAAGATGCAAATTTCCCCTTCCCTTACACCTCTTCATATCGACAACAAAAAGATAGAAATAATCATGACAAGAGTAACTTTGCCGAGAGCATTTCATTGAGCGGGTAAAGGTCACCACTTGCCAAATACATTTCATAAACTAAACTCTGTGCAATACAAGATATATATTTCAGATATTTAAGTCAGTCGTTCTATTGTTTCTAACTTCTCCCTTCTTGCCTATCGATCTTTTCTCAGGCTATTAATTCTAGAATTGGCATTGCCACATCAAGAGTGCAGGAGAGATTGCAGGATCTGATTTCTTGAAGGTACTGCAAATTAAAGATGTTTGCATGTATGTAGCTTGCGGAAGAGCATTTAGTTTATAAAAGTTTAAGGTCAAATTCTGGATTTAGTTTCTGTATCTTATCAAAAAGCTGAATTTAGTTCTTTTATTATATACATATAAATCGAGACTTTATATTTTTAAAATTTATTAATGCACTTCAATCGTTAATATTGTTAAATTTTCTCTACTAAAATTGTTGATGTGGCATTCATGTGACATTGATAAGGTTGATGTAAAGTTGATCACGTTAACATGTCATAGAGTAATGCTCGTATTGCATTGACTAGGCTGATACGGAATTCTCAAACTAACGCGGGTTGATCAAAACTAACGTGATGTTAATCAATATTAAAATGAAATTTTGGAGGTTTTTTAACAATGAAAATGTGATTGCTTTATTATGCTTAATATTGAAGTAATAAACAAAGGATTCTAGTTATACAATTGGTTTGATATGCTTGAAAGCTCAATATATTTATAAATTAAAAGTACTATATCAAGTGAAGTACTAAATCCCATAATTCGATATGATAAATTAAGGAGCATAAACTGTGAAACCTCAACTTGATAGTTGTCCAAGGATTTTGATGAACCATTTTATACATGAGCAGTTGGATGAATTTCCCAACCGAATGCTCTCAATTTTCTCCATATGTAGTGTGTTTGATTATTGAGGAATTAATATTGGAAAAGTGGAAGAGAAAGGAAACCAAAAGGATCTATTTTTGGAAGTTAAGGTAGGAAGGGTCGATCCTTGGAGGTTCAAGGCTTGCTTTTAGCTGTTGGAACTTCAGGGATCAACCCTTGTTGGAAGAAAGGTCGATCCCTACATCACAAAACAAGGACTAAGGCATTCGGGAACTTAGGCCTCAACCTTTAAGGTTTAAAAGGTCAATCCCTACAACCTCACAAGGAAAAAAAATAAAACCCAGGGATTGACCCTTGGGATTAAAAGGTTGATCCCTAAAGCCCAACAAGGAAAACAATAAAAAACCTAACTCGAGCCTCACTTGTTCATATCCTTCTTTTTTAGCCTTCTTTCATTTCCTCTCATCCTCACAACCCTTCCCCTCTAACCCCACTTCATTTTTGGCTAGGATAAGCTTCCAAGTGTGAATCTAAGGTAAGATTTTGCTTATTTAAGCTTTAAAATTCATGGGTTTAGGCAAACTTTCTCTCTTTACAAATTTCAACAACATACCCTCTTTTGCACTAAGGATTTTTAAGGGTTTTAACTTCTAAAGGAGTTACTACAGTAAGGATTCTCATAGTTGAGTAATAAATGCTTTAAGTTTGAAGTTTTAAGCTTATTAGAATTAAATAGAAGGATATTAGTTACTTGATATGTTTCAAATAACTAGGTTTAAAAGAAAACTAGGAAACTTATAGTGAAATTTATTATATTAGGCATCATTAGAGCTTGAGGATCGTAGATTGAACAACGTTTGGCAAATCGAGGCTTAGAACAATATGTTTCTTGTCAAGATGAGCTGATACACTTTTTTAAAGTATTTTAGTATGTAAAGCTAAACATGATTTATCGAGTTATTTGTCTTGCATGATTTAAATACTATATTTACAATGATAAATCAAATTGTTTAAGTTTAAAAGATTTCAAAGAAGTTTAAGAATCTATATACTTATATAAATATCTCTATTATGTTTTAGGTTTTATCAATGGAGGATAAGCCCTTATAAAATCTTTGTATTTTAAAATAGTGGTTTTTGCTTGTCCCTTGCTCATATTCACTAATAAAATTTTTGTACTCACACATTAATTTTTCATATTTTTCAAATTAGTGACTAGCTTACTACCTTTGTTGCAGAGACGAGTTCTTATTCTTTCTTGGTAAGTGATCTAGTAGATCATTTGAAGCCTAGAAAGCCGGGTCATATTCTGCTGATGAATAGGTCTTTACTTTTATGTTTATATATGATTGAACGTGTTTATGATGATGTAACCAAGAAATGACATTTTATTTTATAAAAATGTACAAATGAATGTTATGTGATGGCGCAAGAGACTATATAGACACCCAAAGGTGTATATGCATGTTTATATGATATGAAACATGAGACTTACTTTATATAGATATTGTTATGAGAATAAAGATATTTTTACACTTTATGTTGAAAAGTTCCATAATTGTGTGATGATGTGCATGTATGTATGAGATTATATCATGTGATTGTGTGTCAATTTTGAGATGAATACTATATGTAAGATCATTAAAAGATTAGCTTGGGTCTAGTGGGCCATACCCACCCAGGTCCTTATGCCAATCATATTTCCAAAATTAGAATGTGACATAACGCTTGCAACTGAATGATACAATTACAAGAATATCACACCACATCTCATGATCTCAATTTGATATTATATATAATTTTCAATTTTGAAATATTCTCAATTTTGATACATCAGACTCGTGTTTTCAATGTTTACAAAATACTATTTCAATCCCAACTTAATCCCATCTTGCAAATTATATTTGAAGTTTGCTAACAATAAGGCAATAAGGAAAGATTTTTCTTTAGGCGATATTCAACTCGAGTTTCTCACAAGTGAGATCCAGGTATGAAAGAGCGAATCTCAAGCATGACTCGGTAACAATCTTTGTTAACAACCTACCTCCAAGAGTTAAATGGCAGTGGTTGAAGTTAGTACGTCAAAATTTTCAGAAAATTGTTAATGTTTTCGTCCCCAAAAAGAAATCTGAGGGAGGTGTTTTGGTTTTGTTAGATATTGGTAGCTTGAGGATGCTTAGATGGCAATCTGGAAACTTAATGGTGCTCAGTTGCTTGATATAAAAGTAGGGGTTAACCTCACTTGGCACAATTCAAGAAACGCTTTGGAGGAAAAGAAGATGAAAACCAGGGGATAAAGGAGTGGGTGACAGATATTTGTAAATCACCAATGGTGGTTGACTAGAGCAAGGAAAAACAGAGCTATTTACAGGCTCTGTTAAAACCAAATCAGGTGAGTAGGGAGTCTATGGGTTTTGTAGATTATAAGGATGTGTATCAGTTGTAAAGAAGTTTGGTATGGTCTTAGGAAATTTGAATGGATCCCAATTGTTTCAAAAAATTTCTGAAAGACAAATTCGGGGATAAGGTGATGGTGAGGAAGATGTTTGGCACACATGCTTCTGATCTCTTTTGAGAGTGAGTTTGAAGCAGAAGCTTCTAGATATTTTTGAAAAAGTGGAACCATGGTTGATCAATTTGAGACAAAAGGAGAAGAGATGTTGCTTGCTGTTACGAGAAGCATAGGAAATTCTATTGGCTTTCTCTTACGGGTTGGCGATGACACATTGTGCATGAAGAATTTTGAAAGAGGAATTACTCAAATTGTTACTTCAGCCAATTCACCAATTGTTGAGCATTTGAAGTTCAAGGTGGGAGCCATGTTTTATCAGGTTGATGAGGCTGAATTTCCATCTTTCATCCTTTTAAAGTGTTCATGATGCTCTAAAATTCAAGAATGGATGTTAAGCTCTTCCTACTTCATCTGAAGAAAACCGTGGATTCAAGGGAGATATAATTTCCAATCATACGAAGGATTGAATGTTCCTTTAGGGTAGCTTGTAGAGGAGACACGGTGAACAATGATGAAGAACAAAGACTTTTTTATTCCCTTGCAATTGGAAGGCTTAGGACTAACAATGGGGACTCTCATTGGGATAGAATCAGGCAAAGTGAAGAAGACTTGGTCGAGAGGAAGATGCAATTGAGGGTTTGGCTGGGTGATGAGCTCTACTGGGATGTTTTATTGATGGCCTAGAGATGATCCAAGCCCGAAAGGTATAAGCTCGGCCCGAGAGAAAATGCTGTGGATTGCGAGATGGGCCACAGAGAAGAGAACCAACAAATTTCGAAATTAATAAAGTGGCTTGTGCACAAGAGGAAAGTCGTGGAGAAAGGAAGAATTTTGGGGAAATTTCATTAAATGAGGGTGAAAAATACGTGGCCACGGATGTGGTAAGAATGAGTCGGCTTGTATCATGGATGAGGAAGTGTCAAATCAGGGCGTTTTGGAAGGACTTGAAGAGGAAAATGAAGCCAACTTGGGAAGGCGCATTTGGGGTGGTAAGAAACCAAACATTCTGCACATCGATGCAAAAATGGTTTGACTCCGAGAGTGAGATAGTGGAAAGTGTTTGTGCAACAACCATAGTTTTTGAGTAAGAGAGTTGCTAAAGTGGGTGATTTTCAAAATTTAGTTAAGGGGAGAAGGAAAGGAAAGCTTCTGAAGAAAGGTAAGAAAGGAAGGAAATAGTTCAGAAAGCTAATGGGAGTAAACAAAATTTTGAGAGCTTGGTAGCCAATGAATCATTATCCAATGGCAATTTGTTTCAATAGAAACACAGTTATACGAAGAGAAGTAGAAGAAATTTTGTGTCTGGGTAATCAGTTGGGATTAATAGCTAGATGTGACGATGCCCAAATGAGGGACAAATTATTTCCATTGAAGGAGGCCAATGCACTTTATCTGGTTGTTCACAGGAAAAAAGGTTTGCTTTACTAAAACTGGGACAATAGAACTGTTTATTACTTCATAGATTTTGTAAGGCGATGTTCTTTTTCAAGCTTGTGGTATTGTTATACTTGGGGTGGAAGTACCACGATGTTACCTTTCAGGAAGGAAAAAGGATTTGGTAACAGATTATTGAATCAAAAGGTGAGAAATTTTTTTATTTCGAGACGTTGAATGGTGGTGTTTTTTTTTTTTTTTCTTGATGGCAAGGATGGGGGAAAGTGGTTGATGAAGGAGTGCTTAACAAGGGTGAGCTTCCGAACGCGTGGGGGAGCCTAATAGCGTTTAGGAGAGGTGGTGTGTTTAAGGTTCATTGGATATCCTTGATTTCATTCTTGGCAAAAGCCATGGCAATCAAAATGCATTACAAATGGTTGTCTCCTCTTTGTGGCTTGAGTTGATGATGTCTTTTTCTTTGTGTTGATTTTTGGCGGTGGTTTT